CCGCCCTATATATCTATACTATCGACGGTTCGGATATTACCTATTATATCCGAGGCGTCGACCGCGAGGTTAGTACGAGAATTGCCTAGGAAAAGGGTAGTAAGGCCGATCTTACTAACGCTCTAGTCTACTAATTCCTATTCGACCCTATTATAGGTCGACTTTCTATACTTCGCTTCTCTCTAGAAAACGCGTAAATTAGCGACCGATATGTCTATATACTAATATATATAAAGGTCGCTAGCCTTATTAGCGCCGAATAGCTATAGCGACACTAGTTAACGACGTTTAATGCTTAAGGTCTCCTATTGCCGTAGCGTCGCTAGTTAGGCGAACCGGCGGTTACTTAGAACGTTAAGGATTACTATTAGCGCTATGTCTACGTATACGGCGTCTATTCTTTATAGGAAGAGAGCTATACCGCCGACCTAGTCGACCCTAATAAGATATACGACGATATAGTAATATACAAATCGTACGGATATCCTTAGGTTCTAGTAGGATATCGCGAGTATATAAGCTACGCCGAGGCCAAACTTAAGAAGATCCCTATACTTACTCTCGATAAGAAGATCGCCGTCGATTAGGACGCGATCGTATAGCTATCCTTTAGAGATAAGGACTATATAAGTAACCTATTTAAGGCCTATATAGACAAGATTATAGCGAACCTACCCGCTAGCTTTAGAGTGCCCTTAGGAATCTTAAAGAACTAGCCTAAGAAGAAGATAAACAAGCAACCGGTACCTAACGCCTTTATACCGGTAGCTACGAGAGATAACGTAGTTAATTCGCTCGCGGATCGTAACGAGAGCGCTCGTTAGTATAACGTCGACGAGACGTAGGACCCGGTATCTTCCTACCTTATTCCTAACGATAACTATAAGCTAGATAAGGGTAACACTACGAACGCCGTTACTTTCGGCAAGATTCTACCTTAGGCCGCCCTACCTCCGTCGCGGAGCTAAAATAACAGGTCGCGAGGCGGCCGCGTTAATAAATAGCTAGAGGCCGATAAGCTAAGTCGTATATAACTACGCGCAGATAGTAACTATAGTATGCTACTACTACCGCCGCCGTCGCGTAAGGAGAGCAATAACACCGAAAATACCGCTATATTTACTAGCGCGATCGAGTAGGTAGACCTTAAATTGCCGCTACTTCCGACCCTGCCTCTCTATACTCTAAGCGGCGCTAGAGGCTGCCTATAACTAGTAGTTAATTAGACGATGCTTACTAACCGCTCCCTTAACTAGAACGCACTTCTCGCTTATCGATAGGCTAAGTATTACGACTACCTTATAGCGTAGATAAAGGATAGTAGAGATATAATGCTAGTAACGGCCGCTTAGAACCGCGTAGTAATATAGGTCGCGCTTTAGACTAGTAAGTAAAACATAGCGCTCCTTGCGGACGATTTTCTCCGCGATACTACCGGCAACCTACCTACCGTCGCCTTAGTTCTAGCCGATTCGCTAGCAATTCTCGGCGGTAGTATTAGTAATGCTACTAAAAAGGAGATTAACGGCCTATAGGAGGTAACCGATCGATACCTAGGTAAATACACTTTAGACCTAGACGCCTGCTATAGCGATAGCTTAATCGATTTTAGTAAGCTTACGAAGAAGATAATGCCTAACGCGGCGCTAGATACTACCTACGAGACGGCGGCGCATATAGCTAAGGTTATAGGCCTATATAACAGCATCGCTAAGGAGATAGATCTATACGTCCTCTATAAGAAGGCTACTATTATACCGACCGTTACTCGGCTAGAGCCCTCTATAGAGACCCTAGAGTCGAAGCGCAAGCGTAAGCGCGATACCCTTAACGCCTAGGCCGACGACGGGTCGCTATCTACCCCTAAGCGCAGTAGAAAGCATCTATTAGCATAAGTATTAGTATACGACTAACAGGATATAGTATAGAAGTTACTTATTAGTATAAGCATTAGTATACGATTAATAGGATATAGTACAAATAGCATAAGCATTAGCATTAGCAGATATAGTACTAAGAAGCATTAGGCGGCGTATTATATACGAGGGCATATAAGTCTTTCCTTTTAGGGGGGAGGTTGTTACGGTTTAGATAGTAGTACGGCCGATCCTACTCCGGATACTATCGATCCTACCGCAGATTAGGACGATTAATATATATAGTTTCCTAGGCTAGTAACTAACTAACAATCAATTATCTTTGTATACTAGAATCGTGTCCGTCTCCGCTCTATAAAGCGTATCCTAATATACTTCTCCTACTTAGTCTAGATATAGAGCTTAATCTCGTAGACTAATAATAACTTTGTTACTAGTTTGTAGACCGTTAAAGCCTATCTAAGTAATCGAAGCGCCTTACTTGCTAGCTTCTCTAGTTGATTAGTTACTTTATTAAAGTCTATATAGAGGAAGTAGTTATAATAGTCCTAGGTCCGATCGATACTACTATCTAGTAGCTCGTAGGCGTTAATCCGGTCGACAATCTAGTCTATAAACGTTATCTCGGCTTCGAGGAATTCCTAGTTAGACTAGGCATCCGTAATAGTAGTATATAGGTTAGGTTTACTATAGAACTATATCTTAGTTATACTCGTAAGCTTGACTTCTATATACTAAGTATAGATTAAATAGCGGCAATAGTATGCCTGTACTTTAAGGTCTAATAAAGCTAAAGCTAAAGCTAAAGCAGGTATTAGTAGACGTTACGAGAGGCTCCGAGATCTAGCATTTAGTATTCGAGTTGTTAGCTTATAAAACTAACTAGCAGCATTACGTATAGCATTAGCCGCCTTAGGTATAGAGAGGAACGCATTAAAGCCTCGTACCGTACTCGCGGAGCTACTCGTAGCGGCGGCTACTAATTGCTCGCGAACAAATTGCTCGCTTAGTAGATCGGGATTAAGAAGGCCGCATTATAAATAGTATCGGTATTTACTATATATCTTTGCATAGTCGACGCCTGATTTAGTGTAATAGGTGCCCTAATTAGTAGGCATTATTAGATAAATAGAGGTAGAAATAGTAGAGGTTTAAGAAGGTTATAAATAAAATCGAACTAGAAAAAGCGACTCGCTATATACTCGCGGCCGGCTCGTAGATCGGAGATTAGTATATATTATTTGCAAACTTAATTAACCTAGCTTCCTAATTCCGAGCCGCCGCTAACTAACTACGTACTGCTAATAGCTTATCTAACTCTATTAGTTCCGGCTCTAACCCTATAGCTATATACTCCTTAGCTAGCCCTCGAAGAAGCAAGTAGGTAGAGCGGTAAAGGCGCTCTATATTATCGCTATTCTCGCTACTACTTACTAGATACGAGAAGCTATAAATCTACAATGCTGTCTTATACTAAGAAAGCGTAGCCTCGGGCAGGTAGGCTTTAAGATCTAGGAATTAGCGAGTCTATTAGCGAGTCTATAGCGAGTCTGTACTATAGAATCTAATATATACCGAATCCTTAAAGGTCTTGCTCTATATTATTAAGTGCGCCGTTAGGTATAGGAATACTTTAATAAGAATACCCGCTAAGCTCTAGATAATAGTATAGAATATACGGAATACCTAGTATAACGTATAGTCGATTAGCCTGCTTCCGGATACGATAGCTATTCTAGAGGTAAACAAATTCGAGGACTTTATAACGTATAATTAGTATATAGATTGCAAGGAAGGCAATCCGATCCGCTAGTAGTTTAGCATCGTATAGTAACTCGCGTAGTAACTCGTAGAAATAGCCCCTCTAGCTATTTAGTATAGGTACTTACTAACGCTACTATGCCTTAATCCGCTAGTTTATCTTACTCGTACTGTATTTAAAGCAGTCCTCGAAGGCTAGCGGTTGTTCCGGGTTACTACGAGTCGTAAGGCGAGTCTTATAGTAAGTATCCGCGGCTAGAATCGTCTCTACCCTACGGTCTAATCGAATAATCTATAGCATTATACTACTATTCTAGATCGTTGTAAGGTATTAAGCTAGTATAGAGACAGCTGTCCGGCTAGTAATGCCTATATAGATCTAGACAATATAACGCGAGTAAATATTAATCGCTACGTAGATCTATATCCCCTAATACTCGAATTTATAGTAAGCATCTATTAATATTGCGTAACTAGGGCCGGGTATAATAATCGCTCTATAGTGCTCTCGCGCCCGCTCGCGGCGGACTCGTAACCCTTTAGGATTTAGCAAGGAAGCTATATAATATAGCCGATCTCTACTAATAATATTATATTTAGACCTAATATAGGTGTATAGGTACCGTCGGCTAAAGGACTCTACTATAGACTTCTCGAGCTCTTTCTATAAGACCTCTACTGTCTATTCTTCCGCTTCTATCTATCTATCTATTAATAATGCCTTCTTTAATCTAAGCTTTTAACGTATTCGTTAATATCTCCGCTAGCTAATCTTAAACCTATCCGCCTATAGTACTCGAACCGCCTCTTTATTAGTTAACCGTAGAACGTAGAAGGTATATACGACCCGGATCTTTAGTGCCTTAATATCGTTAACTCGGTAATAGTAAGTAGAGTAGCTATAATTAATATTCTACTTTTTAAGCCTTCGTTTAAGTATGTTAAGAGATATCTAACAACCGGTCTCTTATATAAGGTGCTATACGATTGCTTCTCGTATAGTACCGCTATAGACTTAAGATATTATCTAAGCCTTCTATAGCGATAAATCGATACGTAGAGGCATTCTACGAGTCGATAGCGAGTATAGTACGAGTCGTAGAAGGTTAAACACGAAGAATTAGGTAGGAATAGCGGTAAGAAGTATAAGAAACCCCGCATTGAGCCTCTGGTATGTATAGGCCTCCCTACCCGCCCGCCCCGCTCCACAAGCTAGCATGTGATGGTAAACAATCAAAAGCAGCATTCGCGATCCCTCCTTCGTTCTATAGGTAAGTGCATGAAGTCCGGCTCCGACTTGCTGAGCAAGCACTAATGAGCAGCAGGCGCATATTCAGCAGTCTACAGAACATGCGGAGGTAATATCAAACCGCCATGGAGACTTTCCTAAGAAAATGGCGACAAGACGCCTTGAATAGACACCAGTATGATACAGCCATCTTCGTTGGAGACAAGCTGCTGGCATTGACGAGTATGTTCGCATGCACTGCAAGCGATACTTATACTAAGAGACCGTTCAGACTCCGACATTGATGCGTACGCACTCGCTCAAACACATTTCGCGGCCGGCAACTACACGCGCGCATTGGCATTCGTCACTCGATCCGATCTCTTACAGCGCTCTCCAAGATCGCGATACTTGGCCGCGCACTGCTATATCAAGCAGAATCGGCACGAGGAAGCACTGCAGATTTTAGGCGAAAAGAACCCAGTACATTTGGTCACCACCACAGATGCAGCGCGGAGAAAACTGCAGCACTTAAGCAATGGGCTCACCAGCAAACAGCATGGGAAATCAAAGTTGCCCAGTCGGACAGACAGGGCGGACAGAAGTGAGGAGCGAGACCGCGAAGATGCAGCCAACATCAAGCACGAGGCCGGTATGTGCTATCTGCGTGGCCTGTGCTACGCGAAGCAGAATGCTTTTGATCGGGCGAAAGAGTGCTATAAAGACGCTGTGCGGATAGACGTACAATGCTTCGAAGCATTCGACCAGCTCGTGAAGAACAGTCTCATGAGCCCCAGCGAAGAATGGGAGTTCTTGGACACACTCAACTTCGAATCGATACAGCCAGAGTCCGGAGACGCGGAAACTGCAGCTGAAGCAGCAGACTTTACAAAGAATCTTTACTCGACTCGGCTTTCGAAGTACACTCAGCCGGAAGTTTTCGAGACCGCCATCGAGACTTTGTCATCACATTACAGATTGGCACAGAATCCTGACATACTCCTGGCAAAAGCCGAAATCGCCTTCACAAGCTCTCGCTACCAGGAAGCAGTCAACTTGACCAACCAGATCCTAGAGTCCGATCCCTACAACTTTGCATGCCTGCCGCTCCACTTGTCTCTGCTACATCAGCTCAACCACAACCATGCACTTTTCTCGCTGTCCCATGACCTGGCCGATACCCATCCGGATGAGCCTTGCACCTGGCTTGCTGTAGGAACCTACTATCTGGCTACGAATCGTATCAATGAAGCTCGCTCTTATTTCTCCAAAGCCAGTCTGATGGATCCGCATTTTGGAGCTGCTTGGATAGGCTTCGCGCACACCTTTGCTGCAGAAGGTGAAAGTGACCAGGCGATTGCAGCCTACAGCACAGCTGCGCGACTCTTCCAGGGCACGCACCTTCCCCAGATGTTCCTGGGGATGCAGGAGATTGCGCTCGGCAATTTGAACATTGCGCGAGAATACCTCGCTGCAGCTTTCAAGCTGTGTCAAACAGATCCAACCTTGGTGAACGAGCTTGGCGTCGTCGCATATCTGGAGGATGATTACGAAATAGCTGTGCGACATTTTGTGAATGCTCTCGAGTTGGCTGATAAGACTGGTGCTCCTCCAAACCAATACACAAGCACGCGCCTAAACCTAGCACATGCTCTCCGAAAAGCCGAGAACTTCGAGGAGGCACTCCAGCAATTTGAGGAAGTCATTCGGTTGGGATTGCGAGACGCCAGTGTTTTTGCATCCAAAGGTCTTGTGTTGATGGAGCTGGATCAGTACTTTGAAGCGACTGTCGCCTTGCACGAAGCTCTGGCAATCTCGCCTCAAGATCCCATTGCCTCAGATCTACTCCCTAAAGCTCTCGGTCAGCTGGAGAACGAAGGAGTACTAGGTGGTGCAGACGAGAGTACAATCGACAACGCCTTACAAGAGAAAGTCTCTAGGATTCGTGGGACCAGGCGCGCCAGAAGGCGAGCACGCATAGACCAAACAGACGATATGGATCTTGACGGGACCAACGACCCATAGCAAGGGCTTGATGAAAATCGACATCCTGGTATTGTACTTCCAAGACCAGCAGGTCTTGCGCCCAACGAACCCGCACCTCGCTATCCCGGGCCTGTGCTGCCGAGATTTCGACTAGATGGTCGGCCTCTTCATGCTCCGCCGAGAACGTCCTTGCCTGATGCGGGACTTCAGGCTGGGTATCTCTACATTGATGATTTTGGTGACGAGGTGTGGGCCTCAGTGCCATGGCAGGGACTGAGCATGGCCATGCAAACAGCGCAGCCACATCGCGAGGCCTTGCACAGCGTGATGCGTGACCTTTCGATTGAAGGACAGTCGAGAGACACGCCAATAACAGAAGCCAACAATGGAGCTCGAGGCGAGCGGTCGCAGCGAGAGAACGCAGGTCCAGAGGTGCAACCACCAGCACTTCCGCTCCGACGTATTCCAAGTCGCATGGGCAGATGAGTGAACGATGTTGGATGATGATAGCTGGGTAGAACTCTTCGCGCAACAATTGGAATTCCCATGCAATCCTTCATCCTGATCTTGAGTCATGCTGTAGACTTTCAAATCGCAGCATGGTTCAACATTTGGATTGTCTGCAACGGTGCAAGTCAAAGCGCGACACCGCGGGTGATGATGGTCAGGGGTGCGTGCATGCCAAGATGCCAAGAGAATTCAATAGCAATCCTTCCGAAGGAGAGTTCGATCATCGAACGCTTGTCATCAACCACACACACACGAGTCACTTGAGCTATCAACACCACCTCCACTTCCCTTCTCTCGTATATCAGCATCGCCGACTGGGCAGATCCCGATTGAGCTGGCTGGAACGAGCAATGTAGCGGAGTTGAGGAAGCCAAGACAGGACCACACCTTGGCGAAAGGACCGGGGTTGTATAAGCGCTCTGCTGGCAGCCTACTAACAAAGCTGCATCTCTAGTTTCAAGTCCCCAATTTTTCTGTACTACTTCCGTATTCGCGCGTGCACAAGGACGGTATTCATTCGCGTGTGCAGGAATGAAAAGGTAGGTCATTATCGCGCAAGCCTTGAGCATAGCAGTCTCTGCGGAAACGAGCGGCTGGAGAAATAGAACGACCGCAACGAGCACATCGCGAACAATACAAGTAAACGTCAAACCACCGGTTCCGTTGGGAAATGGAAGCACATATTCGATCTTGCCATCATCAGCAACGATACCAGCGACATTGATCACCGCTCCAGCCACAAGAAATGCCAGCGTGACGGGGGCTTCGGCCAATCTGGCTACATATGGGAATTACACATTCTCAACGATATGTCCATCGGGGAATTCAGGATGCATGTCCAGGTGTCAGGAATTCGCAAATTCTTGCCACGGAGACTTCGACGCTTGGTCTACTTCGCGAAACAGCTTTCAATCCAGCGTGGTCGATGCGAGCAACTCGGGAGTCATGCCAGTCACGGATTCCTACTATGTTATGACAGTCACACCGTCGACATCATATGAATACAACACAAGCTGGATCGTGAATCGCTGGACATCCTCGCTCCTGCAAGGCAGTGGGGGAACATTGCTTGTTGATCCGAAAAAGACTCACGCGTTGGTGACCAAGGCCTCCGCGAGTGACACCGGTGCATATGGGGATGCCGTGAACGGCGACACAGCCATTGTAGCATTCGAGTCGATGACATGGACAGCATCGAAGGTCTCTCAAAGTGTTCAGTTGGGTCCCAACATTGTACTCGCCAGCGACACGACAATGACCACGGCGGGTAAGAGTATCTGGCTGACTGATGGAGGAAGAATTGTCGTCGCAAGCGGCACCTCCCGGACAACGATTGGGTTCGAGAGCGCTTCTGGCTCGGCCGAGATGCAAAGTCGGACAGCTAGAGTGACGACGTCTGCCAGCTCTTGGTCAGGAAGCGCTTCGCAAGAAGATTGTCCAGATTCGACGAGCTGCATCTCGGAGAGCGCAGTTGGCAGCATTGTGGATGCGGCCACTGCGACTGTCACTGGGGCAGGCACCCGCAGTCGGATTTGCCGCACAGCGTGGTCATTGACTGCGGCACTTGGTAGCATTGTCGCTTTCTTGGGCATATGATCGGACAGTAGCGTGGGCACCGCGTCGTCTCAATAATCTGGAGGTATGATGTGCATCCACAGCTGTCGAGCAAGGCGGAGAAGCTTTCAGCAGATCAAACTTGACACAAAGCACAATGGCATTGAAGTGCGCCGTGCAACCTGCTGATCGATCGGCGTGCAGCAATATAAATGATTGACGAGATGCCATCGAGTAGCATGACTCGCTTGAGGGTCCAGAATAATATGGAAGAAGTGGCAGAAGATCCAGATTAATGATTGTGGTTTGAGATGGCCCAGTGGATCGACGTGCATAGATTAAGGCAGCGCAGCGACCGCCGACATGATCTCCTCCAGCAATAATTTTCGAGCTGCCTATAAGATGCAGCGTTATACAACTCGAGTGTTACACACGGCGGGAAAGGTGGTGCAGATGAGCGAATGGCAGGCACGACATGTTCGAGATGGCCGTTGTGATGTCGGACGAAGCGAGTCGAGGTAGCGGTGACGGAGGCATTGGGGTGGGTGAAACGGCTTCTGTCTTCTGTGTTAGCTGCCTCAGTGCTTGGTGGCGTGGTGGTGTCTGAGGTGTGCAAGGAAGGTCCCGGCCTTGGTGATTGACGAGGCATTGTTCATTTCGTGCGATACCTTTATCGCTCGGGTAAGGGCACGGGGACAGCTGTGTGCGCAGTGCCGAATCAAGGTGCTGTGCATGCACTGTGTGCAGCGAAGCGAATGAAGTCGCTGTTCTTGTTGTAGCTAGTGATGGAGCCCACCATCCAGTGTATCGTGTATACAGCGTGTAATACACCATGTACACAGCCCTCGAGGTCGGATGCCTGGTATACACCCGTATATTACATGGTGTATACAAGGACGATTGCGCTAATCCACGGTGGCTTCACATCCCTAGTTGTAGCGATAGTAATGCCTGTCACGCTGTCCCCCGCCAGGCCCAGTTTGGACGCATTTCCGATACAGACTACAGTAGTGGTTCGGCTTGGTGCTGGTCTCTTGCATTTCAAGGATGCAGCGCTGGAGAAGCGGTGACCGTGACCGTCTGCTTCACGTTCTCTCCGCACATCCATGTGTTGAAGGCAACACAACTGCGTCATAAGAAACCTTCCACCACGAGGTCGGCGCAAGAGCCCTTGGCCCCTGACCCCCTGCCACAGCCACAGCCACGGCCATTTTGGGCATTGGCATTGGCATTGGCATTGGCATTGGCATTGGCATTTCCCTGCCAGCCAGCAAAATTGAGATCTCTGCGAAAACTGGGGCGGAAGCGTTGGATCGCTACGGCCCCCTTCTCTGCGTTTGCCGCGTCTCACAGGACAGCCGCAGGGCCAGCCTTGATCAGTGTGCTGCTGGAGGCTCCTATGAGATGGCAGAAGCTCGTTGCCGTGAAGTCACACGTACCGCTGCACTGCAGGGGGTGAGTGGTGCAATCAGAGGCTGAACAGGCCAAATGACGATCTCGGAATCGCGGCCGGCGGTGACCGTTCCTTGCATTAGCGGCGGGCGCTAATGCCGCCGCTCGTTACAAAGTCTCGCACGGGGCAGGCCTTCATTTACTGTCACCGTACGTGCCTTCCCATCCATCTCGCCTCGTCCACTTCAGCAGGCTCGCGGCCAGCTCGCTGCGCAGTTCACTTGCATCGCTCACTTCAGTCACTCTTTTCCATTTCGACGTCGATACTTCACGCAGACTGCTATTGTGTTGCCAAGAGCCTCACAATCCCCGTCGTTACATTCGTTTGTCCATATCCGATCCATCGACCTCAGCGACTCACAACAAACAAAGCCCCAGCATTTCGACAGTTCACGCAAGGCACATACCAGTACAGCCCCTCGCGACACAACATCACCACGCGCGCCATTTGCACAGCACAGCACAGCACAGCACAGCACGAGCTTCACTTCTCGTACCCAAACACCACCAAACAGTATCGCCTCGTGCGGGCGAGCACGCGAAACACGCTTCTGACAGACTGTGTCTTCGTCGCTGTGCGCGAAGAAGAGTGGGATTCGTAGCTGCGCCGGTACCGCAGTCTCCAACATCACTTCCATTCCGCCTGGAGCGAGTACTGTATCGCTATCGCTACCATGATCGCCCTCACCACCACCCTTTCCGCTCTGGCCTTCGCAGGCAATGTCGCCGCTTTCTGGCGCATGCCATGTCGCTCCGCCACCGGTATTGCGCGTATGGATCCATTGGTCGCGCCCAATGACGTTGCCGACCATTCTCACATCATTTTTGGAGGCGGCAGTAAGTGACTCTTCATCATCCATACTTCATTGACCCGCACGCAGACAAGCTTACCTTCAATTAGACTTCGGCCTGAACACAACCTTTGACAACCTTGCCAAGTGCACAAACCCAGAGCACAACTGCACGTCGTGCGAAGTCACTCAGGACAAGTCCGCTTACTGGACTCCACCAATCTACTTCCAGCATGAGAATGGCACTGTTGAGATGGTTCCCAATGTCGGCGGTATGCTTGCATACTACCTCTTTTACCTCGACAACGTTGAGCCATTCCCCGAGGGTTTCGCCATGATTGCTGGAAACCCAACCTACCGCAACTTTAGTGGTACATTCCCAGATGAGGAATTGAGCAAGTGGCCAACATACCCGAGCGACCAGTTCTTCCTGCAGCAACGCGCTATTGGTTTCAATTGCTTGAACTACGCCAAGGACCCAGAAGCTTCCCTTTACCGCCACCAATTCCCAAAGAAGGATGAGATGGACGCCAACTGCCTTGACGGTATCCGTATGGAGATGGCTTTCCCATCTTGCGGTACTGGCGAGCTCGACTCTCCCGATCACCGATCCCACGTCGCCTATCCATCGCTCGTCAAGGAGGGTAACTGCCCAGACGGCTACGACCACCACTACCCATTCCTCTTCTACGAGACCATCTACGCCACCCAGAACTTCGCTGGCATGCCTGGTCAATTCCTGATCTCCACCGGTGACCCAGTCGGCACCAGCTACCACGCCGATTTCATCATGGGCTGGGAGTCTTCAGAGTTCCTTGGCAAGGCTATCAAGACCTGCACCAGCGAGACTGGACTGATTGGCGACTGCCCGCTCTTCAACATCCAGGACGACTCCGAGGCCGCTCAGTGCACCTTCCAAACTCCAGACTCATTCGAGAAGGAGGACTGCGAGGGACCAATGGAGGGCCTCCCCGTCGGCGTTCCAATTCAGTAAGTGATCTTCGCATGTTTTCTACAGGTATCTTTTCGCTGACTATTCGATTTCTCAGATACGGTCCAGAGCCAGCCACCAAGTACCCAGTCCAGGGCGCCCGCGGTGTGAAGACCTCGTCTCTGCCACATACCTCTGCCCCTGCTACCTTCACCCAACCGTCGCTGGGCTACTCTCCAGTCAACCCAGCAAGCACCTCGACTGCTCAGGGTGGCATCATTGTCGCCTACGCATCATCAAGTAGCTCTGCCGCCCCAGCCATCACGTCAGCTCCAGCCTATGCTCCACCAGCTGACGACGATGTCACCACCACCTACATCACCAAGGGCCATGAAGTCATCGAGATGGTCATTGAGGAGCTCGAAGTCACAGTCACCGCCTCCCCATCGGAACCGGCTGGCTACGCCCACAAGCACAAGAGACATCTCGAGAAGCATGCCAAGCGCCACAACAACCACTAAGATACCCTCCATTTCCGAGTCACATGACGCATTTTCATAGCACGAGTGGCAATATTGGCGGCGTGGTGGATGTCAATTTCCATCGGCTTATCCAACAAGGTTGGATAAGATTTGTTAGCAGCGGCGAACCAGCAGGCTGGTCATTGCGAGTCACTTTGTGTATCATAACAGATTTCACGAGCCCACGATGGTGTGATGAGGCCGATGCCATTCACCACGAAAAGCATAAGATATCATCCAGGCAAAGACTGCCACAAGCTGAGGGACAGCAAGCTTGATTCGCCCTTTGCAGAATCGAATCGACTTTTTTCATCGCGAGACGGTCGTTCCCATCTTTCTTTTCCTTGGTGATCTGTACTGAATGAATGTTACATTCATCGTGTGCGACTACTATATCGGCAAGATTACCGATCCATGTTCGAGCGAGCCGAGGAAATGGAGTATGTGTAAGAGAAGCATGAGGTGGCCTGAGCTACATGTACCTACCTCTTTCTCGGGCACTCGCTGCCACTTCCTTCCTTCCTTGTATGCGCATACCTTCCACGACCCACTATCACTTTGTCCTTGATCTGGATTGGCGGATAAAGAAGTTCTGACGCAAGGAGAAGGTACAGTATGCCTGCCTCTGCTACTAGGAAGGAGCTGAAACGGCAGCAGAAGACTATCATCATCTTTACCTTACTATGCTCGATGCTTGAGTCTGATCCGTTTGACTATGCTTCCGACCAAATGAACACCCTAGGCCGCAACCTCGCGAGAGAAACTTTGGTCTATGCCTTGACGACGGCCACCACGCTCGTAAACAGAATATTGGAACAAGCTCTTCCTGAGAATCCGGAACTCAATGCGACTTTCTTCACCTCTGGACTTGCTCGATCGTTATGGCGTACTCGAACATGTTGCCAGCATGACCTGCCTTGGCAACAATCAGATCTTGAGCCAAATTATCTTCGATGAGAGACGAAAGTCCTGCACTGGTCCCGGCCTGGATAGAAAGATGAGTTGCGAGGATGCTGCAGTCCAGAGCGAGTAATCCGGAATAGAGGATCATCAATGTGATAGGGAGTGTGTGATTGTGAACAAGAGGCTTGGGGTTCTATGCCATACTGTGCTCAGAATTGGCGGTTTGTCAGCTCGCTGGTGAATGTCTTAGACATTCACTGAGAAAGGAGTACACGTCTCAGCCAGTATCAAGGATCTTTCACTTCATGGAAGAATTCTTCTTTTCCCCTTCTAAAATTCCCAAAGATCCGAGTTCAACAGCGAGCTTCATTGATCAACATGGGCTCACCACCTTACAAGCAGCCTGCCATCCACCACACGGACTTCAAGGACAAGCAGAAATGCCTCAGCTTCGAAGTCGTCAAGGGCAAAGAATCTCCTACTCGTCGCTGCATCCGTAAACCACTATGGGCATTGGCGAGCAACAAGGCTGGGAAAGCCGAAAGAGACGAACTGATCGAAGACTTGATGGAGACGAGCCAGGACATGATCCAATCTGCAATCGAGGAACAAACTCTGAAACTGGCCAAAGTCTCAATGTGTCGCCAATGCGGGCAGAGCTACCAGCGTATGCAAGAGGTCGCTCTAAAAATCGCCAATGACTTAGTCGACATCTCCGGAACCTCACCACGTCCGATCAGGCATGCGTTCACTCCACGGACACCAGCTCGACAGTTCAATAGTCCCATGCCAATTCCACGCTCCTCCAGACTACCAGTGACTCCCGCCTCTTCGGTAACATACGGTCGACGTACCCCAAGTCCAAATCCAAGTCCCGTACCATCGAACTTCAGCCAAGAAAACCCATTCCAGCGAGGTCGAACTCGCAAGACAACTCATCATCCAATCTCAAAACCGTGTCAACTCATCCAATCTTCAACGACGAGCTCAAAAAACGGGGGAAAAAACCCGAAAATCCCTTCCGGAACGCTTCAACGCGCAAGACTCCTCCTCCCCATCCCGACACCACCTCATCTCCCCCAATCTCATTCTCCCCTCCCAACGCCCGAAATCCACCGCCTCGAACATCAACTTCAACTCCAAAGCAAAACGAAAGAACTCGAACGCAAAAAAAAAAAACGCAGAGATTTCGAAGTTGAGGCGTGAGAAGAGTGATCTTGGATTACAGGTTAAAACTTTGAATGGTAGGATTCAGGCGTTGTCGAAGGTCATGGGGGAGTATTTGGATGGGTAGTGAGGGGAAGATGGGAGGGAGGAGATGGACTGTGTGAGGTTGGGTGTGTGAAGGATTGGTTGGCGGACCACGCGGGGTTGTTGGGAGATGGATTGTGGATTTGGGTTGTTTCGTTGGTAGCTTTGATGACTGTAGATTTATTTGTTTGTTTCGTCTTGCCCGCTCGTCACATCAGCATGGTCTGTCTTCAGGAGTTCTTATAATAGCCCAACATGGATGTGAGAAGTGAGGGCTGATCTTCTTTCTTAATTCGGCTTATGCTGAAAAGAAGGGGGGGGAAAAGGGGGTCTCTTATGCCGATATTCATGAATTCATTTTTCTCCGAGCAACAAACTTCCCTGAAACGAAATGGGAGACTGTATTCAGAACGTTCCGAGTCTTGGTGACAGATCTGGCCGCTTTGTAGTCTTTCTTTTGTACTTGGGCGAAACTTTGGATCAATGCTTTGGGGAATGTATGGGCTCATTCTGTCACCAGAACTGGCGCCTCCGCACTCTATTCGGACACCATTGCAATGTTGCTTCCGCTGCTCCTGTGCGTGCAAGCTGAGGTGCCGAACGCGTAGTTCAAGCTTCAAAATCTTGCCAAGTCGTAGTCAGAGCTCGACACAGTTGCGCATGCTGATGACAGGAGTTGACGTATAGCAGTAAAAGTTCGTCAATTGAAGTCGTACAGATTCGCTACGAAAGTGATATTCAATGCGCCACGCCAATGCCTATGCAAATGCTTTATGATTCCATCTCTGCGTTGATGGCCTCCACCATGCCTTGAATCATAGTAAGTCTACAACACTGGCTTGGCGTTGGACATGGGTTCTCCTGCAGACTGTTAGCGTCACGGCCTGTTGATGAATGGACAATTGTCGCCATATACCAAGAGGAGCCAGGACAATGTCGAGCTCGAGTTCTCTCGTTGCTGGACCACCTGGACCCTTGTGAGGTGGCATATTCTCCGGAAGCTTCTCGAGAGGTGCGAAGTCGACAACGAGATCGTCCTTGACGGCGAACACAGTGTCGGTTGCCAGCCATCTACATGACCATTAGCTTGAAATCAAGATCAAAGGGGAATGGGGAGGATTTCCGGGTCGTCTTTAGGGTATATCTATTCGCACGTCAGCGAGCATGTCCCCGTCCATTCTGCGGTAATCTTTCTCACCTGTGTAATGCATGGCTTGTATCCCTCTTTGGTGATCTGAAAGGGAAACGTCGTTAGAATTGCCATGGTCAAAAAGAATGGCGACGCATTCATACCATGAGATGTATATGCGCAGGACGCATCGGGTGGCGATCTATCGCTTGGAGCAAAGCATATCTAAAAAGCAGGCCAAGAAGGGTTAGCAATAGTCCTATACGATGTGAGGTGGGAAAGGGAATTGCGTACGATGGACCGTCCGTAGGCTTTTCAAAACTGTCAGCATAGTGTCGTCAACCAGCAGGGAGGGATACGGTACCAAGCTATACGCCGTCGGTCTCAGACAGTAAAGCCTATACTCCCCCTTCTCATCCGTCCGAAACTTGCCCCTCAAATTATTATCACTCTGATTCTCGGGATCCTGAAAATCATATTTCCCGTTGCTGCTGGCCTGCCACATATCAAACGTGACGTCAGGAATCGGCTTCTTCGTCTTCAAATCACGTATGATCCCATGCATATACGTAACCACCCCATCCTTCGGAGGATCCTGAATAATACTCTCCCCCAACTCCCTCCAAGGAGCGTTGGGACTCCAGAAAGGTCCGAGGATTGCCGCAGAAGTCGGGATGTAGTCTGGCTCGTCGACTTGCACGTAATTGGCGATTTCCGTCACGAGGGATTCCAGACCGATGATGTCGGATAAGCGGTGCATTTCGTTGCGTTTGCCGTTCGATTCCGCCCAGATCTTGCCGGTTTCGTTGAGGAATTTCACGCCGGCGAGCCATTCTTCGGGCGTGAGGTCGACTTCGCGGGCGAAGTCGTGGATGTGGCGGGTGAGGGAGGAGAAGATTTGGAGCATGCGGGGGCTGGTTTTGGGGCCGCAGGTTTCGATGACATGTTGGGTGAAATTTGGATCGTACTGGCGTTTGGATGGTTGGGGGGTGTTTTGCTCGGTGGTCTGGGGCGTGGCCATGGCTGCTGTATATACGATGTGTAGGAGGAAGAAAGATGGTTCGAAAGAAAGCTACGTGCAGGAGTCGGACAACTATTATATGAACACTCGCCTGTGTCTGATTAATACTGCAGGGTGCTTACGACCAGAGCTGCGGCAGTACGGCAGATGTGTCGGTGCAAGTTCGTGGTCCTGGATCGGCGCCTCAGAGCATCTCGTGACTCGTGAGCGCTGGTGTTGTTGTCGCCGCCGGAAAAGTCTTTATCCGGTACTTGAACACGGCAAAGCATTCATGACCGCACGTGACCGTCTGCCAAGGCTTTGTCTTCATTCACTCGGAGCACAGCCCAAATGGAGGATGGTACGGTCGCCTGCGAGCGCTCTGCGAGTACCATGGCCAGTCTATTTCCCACCGATCAAAAAACGCTCGCTCCCACGCCACGCTATGCTTCAAACAAATCCATCCGCTTTCTAAATCAAACCACCTTTTCCAATCTACCTTCGATTGAAGTTAAGGTATCTACTGCCAATGAATAACAAGACCAAATTACTGCCGATGAATGCAACCATGATGCCAAGATCTCGCCACCGCGTCGCAAATGAGATTCCGAGATGTGTGTAGAACTGGTCGCCGACGCGGTAAGCACAGTACGAGCAATCCGAAGTTTGGTTGTTGAGGATGTATCCTGCACCACCAGCGTTGAAGAAGTCAGCCATGTATTCGCCGCACGTCTGGCCAGCTGGCGCTGTGAAACGGTTGAGCTCGACGTCAGTACATACGACGCCCTGGCCGTGGAGCTCGTTGGACACCAACCCAGAAATGAGGCGTGTCAATCTAGAGGATGTGTGTCAGTGAGACTCAAAGCTCATCGTGTTCAAAAGGCAGACTTACGGATCAAGCTCGTGCAGCCAAACACGCCAGAATTTGGGAATTTGTGACTTGGGGATCGTGACGCCACAGAACAGGGCGAAGACGATGATCATGAATGGATTCAATAGGACAGCGATGAAGGTGCTCGGGGTCAAAGCAGATATCATCTGCCCAAGAGTGACGGAGAAGAGCTCTGTGATCAAGATCATGAGGAAGCTGTACCCAGCCCGATTGGGAGCTGAATTGAAGCCCGGGCAATAGTACAGCGGCAGGAAGAAGCAGACGGCGCAAAGGATGCTGTAAGGTATCTCTGCAATGACCATACTGAGTGCGAACGGAAACTGCTTGTATGTCTTGCTGGCAGCTTCACGGTAGTAGATCAGACGGCTGAGATCATACTTCGGCTCAACTTGTGCCAAGATCAAGGCTGGCAGAACTGTGACCTGGAAGATGATGAAGACACGGTATTGTAGTGAAGTGCGAGAATCGTCCAGATTCAAGAACATGAGACCACTGAGCAAGGCAATAATGGCGTGATTGAACAACCGCGTGAACCCGTAATTCGGTGATCTCCAGAAGGCCTTGTTGGTCCGAGTCGACACAAGCTTGATCTGATGCCACAGTGGCGTAGCGAACTCCTTCTGTTCAACTGGTGGAAGGGACCCGACTTCTTTGATGCGCTCCTCCTTGATATGATTGATTTCCGCTTTCGTAGCAGCCAGCTCTTCGGATTCTTGCCAGATCTCCCCCCAGTCCTTGTCACCTATTCGGGCAGCTTGACCAGCTCCAATAGCGTCCAGCATCCACTCTGCTGGGTTGGCATTTGGTGGACAGACAGCGCCATACTTAGAGAAGTATCCTCTCAGAACTATCGCATCTTTTCCAATATCGCCGAAATATACTGTCTCGCCGCCACGCTGAAGCAGGAGCAGACGATCAAAGTTCTCGAAAAGACTGGCGTTGGGCTGGTGGATTGTGCACAAGATGGCCTGGCCAGCCGCGGCAAGCTTCTTCAAGAATCGGACGATGTTGAAAGCACTCTGCGAATCCAGACCAGAAGTAGGTTCGTCGAGGAAAAGTAGCAGCTCAGGCTTAGCAGCAAGCTCTACGCCAATGGTTACTCTCTTGCGCTGCTCAACTGCCAAGCCAGCTTCGGGGCTTCCGATAATGGCATCGGCGATATCCTCCATTTCCAGGAGCGCAATGATCTCCTCGACATATGCATACTTCTCTTCCCTTGGAGTTTCGTACGGCTGCCTGAGATCTGCAGAGAAGCGCAGCGCCTCACGCACTGTCTGTGTGCCTTCATGCACATCAAGCTGCTCGGCATAACTCGTGCCACGCTGGAAGGCCGTGCCAGGAGGCTTGCCATCGATGAGTTTGTCTCCAGTAATCACTCCGATGTTCTTTCGGGACGCCAGCACGTCGAGGAGAGTAGTCTTGCCCGCACCGGACGCTCCCATAAGAGCCGTGAGTTCACCAGGCTTGACATATCCGTAGATGTTCTTCAGCAATCGAAGCTGGCCATTTGGCACAGGAACATCATAGCAGATGTTTTCCCATGTCAAAACTGCCTTCGAAGCAATCGAAAGCTCTGAGCCCTGTGCAGTGTCCTCCTTGCGGCGGGTCCTGTTCTTCTTCTTCTCCTGGAGTGCAGCATTCAACCTCTTCCGCTCGCCATCCTCCTTCGCAAAGAATGTGACAGTCTTGCCTCCTGCGCCCCACTTAATGTATTCTCCCAAGAACACATTGGCGACTAGGAACACTGTGACAAGAACTACTATGATTGCCCAGTTCCTCCAGAGATCGCTCGGAGCATATTTGAATGCAGTTTCAATGTAGGCGGATCCTGAGACTGTCGCGCTGCCGCCAGTACTGCCAGCAAGGGTACATGTCTGGTGCTCAATGTCTCCATAGCCAGGTCCAGAGGGAATCAAGTAGTTTCCCTCGCATTGCAATTCAAGCCTTGAGAACTCGTTTGCCATCATCGCTGAGAATCCCAGACCCAGTGCATTGATGTAAAAGATCCATCGTAACCAAACTTGCTGTGACTGATACTGAATCAGGTACCCAGAAGTCAGCACGAACAGTGTGATGATCGTTGCGGCAAACTTTATGGCGCTGTCGAAGTCAGGACATAGGCATCCCACCGTTCTGAAGAACAGCGTCATGGCCAAGTATCCCGTTATGATAACCAAGAAGAAGGTGAAGAATGCTCCTGCGTCGTAGACCAGACCACACATGAAGTATACCATAATTGAGAAAACCAGAATCTGCACAGATGCAAAAGCCAAATCGACACAGATTTGGCCAACCCATAGCGCGCTTGGGCGATGAAAAGTGTAAGCCCGGTGTTTGTTGACGATTGGTCTGCCAAGCATGGTCGATGCCAGTTCGCCGAAAGCCTGGAAGCAGTTGAAGAGTAATGCGATAAAGAGTACACCGCCACGAGTGAAGGCACCAGCGGAAGTCTTGGGAACCTGCAGCCAGACGGTACCAACGACGATAGCGATGACGATGGAGGTGATCCAAGATACGACTAGCGAGAAGCGATCCTGCCACTTAAGGATGAACTGCCGCTTCATTAAAGCCCAGACCTGGAGATGGAAAGGAATGCTGTAAACGCTCTTCTGAGGCGCATGGCGCTTGCCTTGCAGAACTGCAGTCTTGAAGTCTTCGTAAACATGTTGCTCTTCCTTGACTGTGAGTTGCCATTTCGCCATCTCATCACGCAGTTGAGTTGCGTATTGCGACTTCTCGAATGCCTCAACAAGAGCATCAGGAGTGGAAGGCACATTTGAGCTGTCTCGACCTTCCTGATATTCTCGTTCGAAGGCATCAGTGCATCCAGTCAAGTAATCAGGCGTCGTCTGTCGAGGTTTTGGAAGAAAGCCGAGACTTTCGAAATAAGATCGCGCCTCTTGAGCCGGGCCAAAGAAGACCTGTCGTCCTTCGTCGATCACCATGACCTTGTCGAATTGCGAGTAGATGTTCTCCGAAGCCTGGTAGAGCGAGACGAAGGTCGTGGTATGGTAGATGTTAGTGGTGACACGCAGAGATTTGGCGTAGTCCAATGCTGTCGATGCATCCAATCCACGTGTACTGTTATCGTGACTGCAAACCGCTCCGCCAGTGATCATCATCTCCGCGATGGAAACGCGCTTTCGCTCACCTCCGGAGATACCTCGCACAAAGGGATCTCCTACAATGGTGTTCTTGGTGTGCTCAATATTGAACATTCGAAGCAACATGTCGATGACCTTGTCCTTGAACTCACCCACACTCAGACCAGCAGGTCGCTTTCCGGGGACTTTCGTCTCCAATGCGAAGCTAAGGGTCTGACCAACCGTGAGCGAGGGGTGATGCGTATCGTCTTCTTGACAGTAGACTGCTTCGCCACGATAGCGCTTCTCGAATTCTTTCGCAGTGAATGGACCGTAAAGGACTTCTCCCCCGATATCTGTATATCCAAACCGCTGATTCGCAATCACTTTGAGGAAAGTCGTGCAGCCAGAGCCTGGCCTGCCGAGGATCAACACCATCTCGCCGGGCTTCACGACGCCATAAAAGTTGGACAGGATGTTGACTTCCTCGCCCTTCTTACCCAATCCAAACAGGCCCATCGCGAATCGGATGGGAAAGCCAAAGAATCCAGTAAAAGCATCGGGGAAGGTCGGGACGTAGATCTTAGCTCCTCCCATTCCTTTTACAGTCAACTTGTCCCAGATGACACCAATCTGCTTGTGCTTGATTCCGGTCTCTTCTTCCAGCCGCTTGTTCCCACGAAGCGTGTCTTCCAAGTCGAAAGGCTCGTCGTCCTCGCTCGTCGCTGGTGACACGGCTTTCTCCAGATCCGTGACCCCAATTTTCAAGCCGCTCTTCCGACTCTGCGTCCGGGACAACTGCCTCTGAGCTTGGCTTATCCCACTGATCTCTCGCTGCAGAGTGGCAAACTCTCTCTGCGCATATGCGACATTCACGCCACGTGCAGATGCGTCCGTTGACGACCGCGACGACACGGGCGCATAGTCATCCTCATCCGAACTCCCTTTGGCCCGGGCATGTCTGTCCGTCTCTGCCTTTCCCTCGACCTTTTCATGTTCCTCGATGGCTTCGCGCGCAAGGCGTGCCTCTTTTGCCTGAGCGTTCGAGGAGGGCTCGTGTGTGTTGCCAGTCACGGCTCCATGTGCATGTGCCGGGCGGTTCAGGTGGAAGAAGTCCTCCGCTTCCTCTTCCACCTTTGACTTCTCCATCATGTCGGCCCCAGCGCTCGCCCGGTAATAGGAAGCGACCTTCGACCCGATCTCCAACTCCAAATCTGCTACACCGAAAGCACAAGCAAGCACAAAGCGGCGGAGAGAGCGCACGAGAGACGAGGAAGCAGAAGGGCCAGGAAGACTCGTGGTCCATGTTTGTTTGCGAGAAATCCTGCATTAGGCCGCTGAACATCGGGAGTGGAGCTCGCATAACTCGTGCATTCGCCGCGACCATTCCATGCGCTTCGCTTCACCCTTCACCCTCGCTACGGGGCAAGCATCTCGAAAAGAGGCACTATTCCGCGTGGTGGGCCTCGGTAGGTGCAGGAAAAGGCTTCCCTTGCCACCTCGACCTTGCCGCGCCGGGTCCAGGGAAGTTGACCACCCGTGCAAATCAATCCAAGCTCATCATGGGCCATGGCGGCGTGCATGCATTCCCCACTTGCCAGCTTAGCTTCAAAAGAGCGGTCGGTGTCTGTCTGTCCATAATAAACACCCGGCACATGGCATGACAGCGGTGGTTATAGGGCTGATGGGATGCTTGTGGCGAAAGCGGCCGTTCGATGTCATGATATTGGCGATATATTAATAATAACAAAGCTTTCACATGGGGTTCTAAGTACACACTATGTACACTGCTGCCAGCATGCATACATCGTAGGAAGCTGGTTCTTTTCCCTTCCCGAGCCCGTCTGTCGATGAACCGATGTGCAGCTGTGTCTCGAAGCCGCTGCGTCCGTGCTTTCTGCCCAAGCCCGGTGTCAACAAACAACGCGACGAGCTGAAGTTCAGATGGGCAATCAACTCCGAACCCCGATCGTCCAGTTATCGATCCTGGCATTGCGACCGCCGACTGGTATTGACGTCTGCATTATTAAGTGGTTGTTCATCGGTGGCATTGGTGTGCAGGGCAATAATGACAGCATGCGCTTGTGGTCCAGGTCCAGCCCTGTACAGTACACCACGAGCCGTTACCGAGCCGTTTGCGCAATTACACTTTCGTGCCATCTCATCTGCCGAGCCCAACGTGGCGTGGGCGATTGATCAGCAGCTCGGCGCTCGCACGTGGTCATGCTGGGCTGGGCTCTGCCGTGCCGCATTGCACTCCATGCTTTCTGTATCCTCGCAGATATACGAGCGGCCAAACTCCTGGCACATCTCTCGTCGTGCACTCGCCTTTTTGTTACCACTTTTCTGTCTCAGAGCGATCACCAGTAGTGCTGGGCCCATCACGCATCGCGTCGTGTTCATCGCTCCTTCCGACGCGCGCCAGCCACTGCTCAGCGGAGTTGAGCGTTGCTTGGAGCACCCCCGAAACTTGGCTCATCATGTCCAAGCCTTCGGCCGCGAAGTGAATCATGCGCCGAGCATTTCGACTGGTTTCCGACTCGGCGTACTGTTGGTCCGATACGACGCGCCAGCGCTGAGGAAGCGACATGAGTTGACTCCGTACGAATTCGCGAGCATTTTCGGGCAGTGCACCGCCGGCATACGTGGACACGGCCTCTGAAACCTGACGCAACCTTTGCCAGATATCATCGCATGTCCTCTTGATGTGCTCCGCAAGTCGTCTCGCATCCTCAGACCGTTCAGGTGTGCCAGGTCGCTGTCCCTTCTCCAAAGACGCATTGTCGCTTCGATATTGCTGTTCCCGAGCTGTCTCGTAGTCTCGCAGGATCGAAGACAATGCTTCCGTCAGGTTTTGCACATGCATGGCCGAGTCCTGCAAGAGCCTGAGACATAATTTCAAGCTATTTCGTGAAGCAGTGCTGAGAGCCACCGAGAGTCCAGATGTTGTGACAAACAGCTGCGAGGACCAGCTACGGCCATTGGCAGGTCGCACCTGCATTTTCACCTCATGAGAATATCGTCCTTGCCCAACAGGACTAGCCTCTTCGCGATATGATGGTGGCCTGCTAGATCCATAGGGTGGCAGTTGTTCTTCTTGGCGCGCTCCGGCTAGCTCGCCATTATCTGATGCGGCATCTGCTTTAGCATCGCGACCTTGCTCCATGTCGCCAGGCCGGCGAGCGTCCAGGTATCGTCGAACTTGACTATCGAGACCTGTCTTCTCCCCCACCGCGTTCACAGTATTCACAAGCGGCATTCCCACGTTGCGCTCCACGAAGCCCGCACTATTACGCACGAACCGCGGAGAGTAGTATTTTGTAGTAGAATAAGCTGCCAGAGACGTCTTGATTGTTCCGCCGACCCAAGGATGCGCCTGGGCGATGAGCTCAAGCAAAGGTTCAGGCTCGTCCGAAAGTCGCATTCCATTTGCCATGTGCCTGCCCTGCCCTCTGCCGCCGTGCATCAAGCCTAACTATCATTAGCAATCTTACAAGCGCAATGCCTGCCCATTGTTGTCGTTGCTCACTTGGATTTCCCAGTCCAGATAAGGCCTCTGCAGCAAGGCGTACATCTGGATCTTCCATTGACACACTTGTAGACCGCGCCGTGCTGTCTTCCGTGCTCATTGCGCTTCCACTCTCTGCCGGACTCGCCATAGATACGTCTGTTGTTCCTCTATGCACTCCATTTGTCAATGCGTGTCCCGGATCGATTCGCGGTAGACTCCTGACAGAGGTCGGTGATGCAGGATGGTTACTGATTTGCGGCGAAGACATGCGCTCGAACTCTGGACTCAAGACAGTCTTCAAATCGGGCAGTGTGATATCGTTCGCTTGCGGTATTGGTTCATGTCTGGGCACCGAGGGCCATTGCACGCTTTCGGGCGAGCGAGAGACCAAAGTTGGCGCTCGCTCCTGAGTGACCTCCATGGCCTTGATCAGCGCATCCGCAGCCAGTCAAGGTCAGCTGTTGTCGACGTGGTGGTGTCGTGGATCGTATTTGTGGTGCGACGCAAACATAGAACCGAGGAGAGGATTGTCAGCAGGAAGAAGCAGAAGCAGAAGCAGAAGCAGCGCAGTGCGGCGCATCATAACCAACCGGGGCACTTTCGAGGAATCGAAAGCGTGCGGCATGTGACAGGAAATCGGCCAATTACAAGCTCTCTGCTGTCAAGCGAACAAGGTTTTGCATGCAGACTCGGCGCGGAAGCCAACCCTATCTCTGCTGGCAATCTCACCAGCTTTGCATGTGAAAGCGCTTTGTCGTCGTTATATTGCTCGGAGCTCAACAAATTGACAGGAGCTGACGACAAGAAGGTGAAGGACATTTTAATGGTAGGCCGATTGTCGTCGTGCGGGCCGTGCATCCGAAGATATTATGCAAAAATCCGGAGAATACTTTGCAGCAAATGACAAATGTAGGCCAGGGTGACAAGAGCAGCTACGATGCATCTTCTCCTCACCCCGTCTTTGGTACGGTACCTGCCTTCGCGGGGAACTTCCGGCCTTGCATACCGTATATCGTATATCGTGTTCTGCCGACAGTCTTGTGGGATATCAACCAGAACTGCTTTGTTATGGTGGCTGGTCGCAACACTGTCATTGTACATAGGCGTAAGAAACTCGAGAGCCATTCATTAAATTCATAGCGCCAGAATGCAGCTGCACGCTGAATTCATCTAGATCATGTCAAATCGTCCGGCACTTGGTTGTGGCTATGGTCAAAAACTCCTCTTTGAAGTAATGATCATTAGACTTTGAGGGTCTTCGACGGAGACAGCGGGACGCGCGCTATCAGAGATCGCTCACGCCTGACCACGTGTGCGCTCGCACGATGATGGCATGGCGTGGCTACGGGAATCTATTTAGTGCCTCCCGTATCGCAGAAGCTGCACTGCCCGAATTGGTATGGAATCAGTTCATGCAAGAAGGAAGCGACCATGATCGGACCATCGCTACTCGCAAAGCTCGGAAAATTTGTGCGTGATCGTCTACTAATCCGAGTAGTCAGAATAGATGTCTGCCTTTCAGCGGACATGTGTACCGCGGTCAGCTTGTTCTCCCAGGCGAAACCAGTTTCACATGCAAAAGATACAGACCGGTGCCATGGATCTGGAAAGCTGAAACCTTGCAGTCCATACAAACCCCAGGCAAGCGTGCGAGGGATTGGCGGCAATGTACAACTGTTGTGTTCAGGCGAAGCAATGGCCAGCATTATTGTCCGAAGCATCAGATGTGGAGTGCATCTTGCAATGCCGTGGGCGTCCTGTGATCGGCCTGAAGAGTGTAAACTCCCCCCGCCGCTGATTCAAGCCATTTTCGCGGTGTTGAGCTTCAAAGCCTCGGTGTGGCGGGTTCAGTGAGTGTAGCAGACAAGCATGTGACAGTTTTCACGCGTCATGTATCTAGTCGGAGAGATTATTTCAAGTGACAGAGAAGTCGAGAGGCTGAAGTCAATTCCGAGTCCCGACAGCCGTTTCCGCGCTATACCCAATCTCGACAACCTCATCTCGTCCTGGAAGGTGGGAGGCTGGGACGCTCCTGAGCAAACTACTGCAATGTCAGCGACGACCAACCCAGCTGCGAACGACGCCGTTTAGCACGTTCCGCGCAGAGCGAAAGAGCTCACAACAACCTCTCTTCAGCCGACTGACCTGACCGAATGCAGTATCTACGATCAAATCTATCTACGATGGAGCAGGGATGCTGATCTTCACTTTTCCAGCCTTGCAAGTCATGAAAGACGCCACGTCAACGCTGCCCAGGTGTTGAAAGCAGTTTCACAAGGTTTCAAGATGGCAGCGGATCTTGCGATTGTCCTGATTGTCTTCGCTGTGCTCATCACGAATGGCGACATCGAGATTGAGTCTTGGGTACGGACCCAAAGACCAACATTGGCGGTGTGAACGTCACTCCATCGTCCAAGTCGATATTTCGCCAACCCGAGAAGACTATTACCTTGGCTGTGGAGACAACCACAACCTGTCGCCTCGAAGAGCACCTTGGGTCGCTCTGCAGGTGCATCTCCTCTCCACGGAAAGTCTCATTCGGCGCTGAGCGCTCGGTACATGCTGGCGGTTTACTAGAGGTTACGAATGTCATACAACAAAGAAGAGCTTTATCAGCGTTAGAGCGATTCCATAATCACCAATCTGATATCGTATCTTGGGATCGAACTGTTCGCATTTTTGTCTCCTCTGTACACACGTACGTGGAACTGCGGTCGACATGAGATACCCTCACGCCCCATGCTCAATCATGATGTGGTAAGGTACTGTTGTTCCTCCTGCGCTCCTTGCGTTTCGCTGTTCAAGATCGGTGGTGGTATGATCTCGAGCGATTGGCCGCAAAGCTGCAGCAGTTGATACTGACATCTTGAGCAGATATCCCCCGACTCGGGAAGTGATTGGATGCGAATTTTGTCCCGCCGAAAAAAGAAGAGGCTACAATGATAGAATTTGGCGGGGATGTCTTTGTTTGTCCCAAAACCTTTCTCATCATGAGACGAGATCTCTGGGCCGGGTATCAAGATCATGTTCTTTGTCTATTGAAATCGTCAATAGGGAATTACCTCTTTTGTGTACGGTCCACACACACAGGTCTGACTGTGATTCCTTTCCATGCACGCAGGCTTGTGAGAGTATCTAGTGAGGGCAAAACAACTTCGAGCAAGTCGATAGCATCGAGCTAGGCAGCAGACATACCGCCAAGCGTTCACATGCTGCGCTTGAAGCGCGCATCAACCCGCTTGTCGCGTCGTACTGTCCAGACTTCGCTGACCGTACACCACGAAGCTCAGAGACTCGCTCCAAAGGCAGAAGATGTATCTCAGCAAAGCCGTCATCAGTGGTATGTACCAAATGAGCTTTCGCGTGCCTTTCACTAACTCGATAGGTTTCGCCGCGCTGCAAGTCGAGGTAATGGAGATAGGCGACTCCACAGCAATCATCAAACCTGTCACAATGTCCCTTGGAACCGACTTTTGGTACAGCGCTGGCCCCGGCATGCAACTCGGCGATGTGTATCTCCAAGCGGTGAAAGTGGATAACGATCCCATCGTCTCGCCGCCCATCAAATGTGTCCCGATTTGGCGCTACATCGATGGCACTTCCATCGAAGGCTCGGAATTCGGCGAAGGTCAGAAGAGCTCACCCTATCGGGTCCTTCGCAGTGGCATCGTGGATGCTGTTCACATCACATGCTCGGCGACCTAAAGAGTACGCAGTCCGATATTTGGTCTATCGTCTGCACCAGCTAATTTATGCTCAGAATCGCCTCAGCCTGGATGCAGAGCCGAAGCGCGCTACTGGGCACTGCACAATTGCAGCAGTGAGGAGGGACAACTGCACCGAAGAGACATCGCAAGCTTTTACGTCGTCTGCTCTGCTCCATCGTCCAGCACTTTCGTCCCCTATCAGAGACCCTCACAAATTGCAAGTGACAGGTTTGAAGGAATGCGCTCCACTTTGTGACAACGGCGAAGGCGTCAGGGAGCTATTCATTGAACTCTCGGATCGTTACATTTGGGGAGGATGCCTTGTCGTCGAATAGCCGTTGCAAGTCACGAGCGTCGGGTGCTAAACAGCCAAATGACCAGACCAGCAGCGAGCTCTCACGATTGCCGCCCACAGGGCACAGGCGTGCGCAGAAACTGCCACATCGAAGCCATTTCGACACCAGGCGACTGTATCTAGCACCGCGAAGAATGCATGTCTCTTCTCTTGGTCGAATGCTCCACTCAGGTCGAATGATTGTGAAGTGTGACCAAGACGTGTCAAGAACCAGTCTGCCGCTGTTTGCGCCCATACGTCACATGGCCTATTTGGTCAAATAGGCCCTATTATATGCCCTCTTAGCTTTTGATTAAATAAGGCCTATTTGATTAAATAGACCTTGT